TTTATTATTATTATTAAACTTTATTTGTACCCCGCTAGCATCTCCCGGAGGATTCGATGCGGCTTACACAGGCCGAGGCCTCAACACATAACATAGTAATACAAACTAGGCAAATCAAACAATTAAAAACAGGATAAAGCAAATAAACAACAGGCAAAAGCAATACACTAAAACACAATAAAACTGGGCCAGGCCAAAGTAATGGGTACAAGAATTAAAAGTGCTGATGTGACAAGAGGTGTATATGAGGCTTCTAGGGCAAGTGCGATGTGCAGCAGTCATTGGTTCTGATAAGGTGCTTATGGGACTTGGTAATGGAGATTTCCTAATCTGGGAAGGCGCATTGAAAAAGCCAAGTCTTCAAGTTCTTTCTGAAGACAGCCAATGTAGGGGCCTGTCTAAGGTCTTTGGGGAGGGTGTTCCAGAGTCGGGGGGCCACCACGAAAAAGGCCCTGTCCCGCGTTCCCACCAAGCGCGCTTGCGACGCAGGTGGGATCACGAGCAGGGCCTCTCCAGATGACCGAAGAGAGCGTGTGGGTTCGTAGATGGAACTGCGGTCACGCAGGTAGGCTGGTCCCAAACCGTTCAGGGCTTTGTAGGTAAGCACCTGCACCTTAAATTGAGCTCGGAATATAAACGGCAGCCAGTGGAGCTCCTTGAACAGGAGGGTTGACCTCTCTCTGTAAGGGGCCCCAGTTAACATCCTGGCTGCTGATCGTTGGACCAGTTGGAACTCCCGAGCTGTCTTCAAGGGCAGCCCCACGTAGAGTGCATTGCAGTAGTCCAGTCTGGAGGTGACCAAAGCATGGACCATGTGAGAGGAAGCCACAGGGAGGAGGGAGCAAGCTTGTTTTCTGCTTCTTTGGAGACTAGGACGCAATGGAACAATGGCTTCAAACTACAAGAGAGGAGATTCCATCTGAACATGAGACTGTGAGAGCCGTTCAGCAGTGGAACTCTCTGCCCCGGAGTGTGGTGGAGGCTCCTTCTTTGGAAGCTTTTAAACAGAGGCTGGGTGGCCATCTGTCAGGGGTGATTTGAATGCAATAGTCCTGCTTCTTGGCAGAATGGGGTTGGACTGGATGGCCCATGAGGTCTCTCCCAACTCTTTGATTCTATGATTCTATGATCTTTCCATAGCTGACATCATCTTTCATCCTTTGGTTCCAGGGCTTTGGAGAGATGCTCTTTCCCCCTCCTTCCAGAGTAATGCTGGGCAAGGAAGGGTTAAGGGCAGGGAGTGTGGTTCCCAGAGAGGCAGGAAGGAAGTGGGCCTCCTTAGACCTGCCTTTCCTAGGAACCAAACTCCCTCCCCTTCACCCTTTCTTGCCTGGCTTGGAGAGGGGAGTTTCTCCTTTGGCCTCCTCCTCCTCCTCCTTCAGGTGAGTCTCCTTCCCATTCCTTCTCCAAAGGGCCAAAGAGGGGCTGAAGCCCAACACACCTGGAGGGAGGGAGGGCCAAAGGGGGCCCAGGCCTCCTTCCCTCCCTCCCAGGCTGGCCTCCTAACACACACCCTGATTGAGAACAAAGAGAAGCCTCTTCCACAAACTGTTGAATATTTCCCAATGACTTGTGTTGGTTCTTTCTTTCCAGGCTGCAAAGAGTCCTTCTCCTGACAAAACGGATGATGTCTGAAATAAATACAACATTCTTGGGATCACATTCATTTTGATTGTTGACATTCTCCCCAGTAGAGATCAGGCTAAACTCTTCCACCATTGTAAGTCTTTTTTGTATCTCTTTCCATACTATTTCCATACTTTTTTTTCTTAATCATTCAGTTTCTAGATTTATTTATTTATTTACTTTGCTTATATACCGCTGTATCTCAAGCCCGAAGGCGACTCACAGCGGTTCACAAACAGTAAAAACAGTAGAAACAGCAGTGGTTCCATACAACATATAACAATTGACTTAACACATTATCCATAAATTACCAATAAGCAATTACAATGCACAATTATTACAAAAAACAACCGTACCCAATCTTCTCATCATCCAAGCGTAGTCCAGGTTTCCAAATATTTTACTTTAATGTATTCTCAAAGGCTTTCATGGCTAGAATCACTAGGTTCTTGTGGGTTTTTCAGGCTATATGGCCATGTTCTAGAGGCATTTCTCCTGACGTTTCGCCTGCATCTGTGGCAAGCATCCTCAGAGGTAGTGAGGTCTGTTGGAATTAGGAAAATGGGTTTATATATCTGTGGAATGGCTGGGGTGAGGCAAAGAGCTCTTCCCTGCTAGAGCTAGGTGTGAATGTTTCAACTGACCACCTTCATTAGCATTTGAAGGCCTGGCTGAGCCTGGGAAAATCTTTTGTTGAGAGGTGTTAAGATGTGCCTGGTTCATAGAATCAAAGAGTTGGAAGAGACCTCCTGGGCCATCCAGTCCAACCCCTTTCTGCCAAGAAGCAGGAATATTGCATTCAAATCACCCCTGACAGATGGCCATCCAGCCTCTGTTTAAAAGCTTCCAAAGAAGGAGCCTCCACCACACTCCGGGGCAGAGAGTTCCACTGCTGAACGGCTCTCACAGTCAGGAAGTTCTTCCTCATGTTCAGATGGAATCTCCTCTCTTGTAGTTTGAAGCCATTGCTCCGCGTCCTAGTCTCCAAGGAAGCAGAAAACAAGCTTGCTCCCTCCTCTCTGTGACTTCCTCTCACATATTTATACATGGCTATCATATCTCCTCTCAGCCTTCTCTTCTTCAGGCTAAACATGCCCAGCTCCTTAAGCCGCTCCTCATAGGGCTTGTTCTCCAGACCCTTGATCATTTTAGTCGCTCTCCTCGGGACACATTCCAGCTTGTCAATATCTCTCTTGAATTGTGGTGCCCAGAATTGGACACAATATTCCAGGTGTGGTCTAACCAAAGCAGAATAGAGGGGTAGCATTACTTCCCTAGATCTAGACACATTTCCAAATATTTTACTTTAATGTATTGTCGAAGGCTTTCATGGCTGGAATCACTAGGTTCTTGTGGGGGTTTTTCGGGCTATAGGGCCATGTTCTAGAGGCATTCTCTCCTGACATTTCGCCTTCATCTATGGCAAGCATCCTCAGAGGTAGTGAGGTCTGTTGGAATTAGGACAATGGGTTTATATATCTGTGGTCCCTATGTAGACTTGTCCACAGCTGCATACGGTAGACTCCTGCAGAGGTGAGAGGATCAGCAAAACAGCAGAGAGGAAACAACCAGGCACATCTTAACACCTCTCAACAAAAGATTTTCCCAGGCTCAGCCAGGCCTTCAAATGCTAATGAAGGTGGTCAGCTGAAACATTCACACCTAGCTCCAGCAGGGAAGAGCTCTTTGCCCCACCCCAGCCATTCCACAGATATATAAACCCATTGTCCTAATTCCAACAGACCTCACTACCTCTGAGGATGCTTGCCATAGATGCAGGCGAAACGTCAGGAGAAAAATTGCCTCTAGAACATGGCCATATAGCCCGAAAAAACCCACAAGAACCTAGTGATTCCAGCCATGAAAACCTTCGACAATACATCTTTCCATACTATTTCCATACTTTTTTTCTTAATCATTCAGTTTTTGTTTGTCATCTGGATTTCCAAATATTTTACTTTAGCCGTAAGATTGATTTTTGTCTCTTGTTTCAAAGCCTCTTGGTTCCAAGAAAGACTATGGATGATGAGGCATCAGCTGAAGGAATCAAGGGGGGGATCCAGCATGGGTTGGGACTGAATGGGAGCTCAGTGCGAGGCCAGGTGGGCCTGGAGGCTGGAGAAGCAGAGGCCCCAGTGGAAGGAGGGCCCAGCATTGCCTGGCTCTGGAATAAATAAAGGGCTTGTTATTTTACTCTCCAAGAAAAAGCCTCACGAAGCCTGTTGTCTAATTCTGCCTTTCTTTCACAGAGGAAAGGTGATTGTTGGTGGAGAATTTTGGAGTCGAACCTGTTGAGGGATTTCTTTCCCTTGAGAGAGGAGGGAGGAAACGCATCTAGGATCCAATTTGATTCTTCATCCATCAGTGGTTCCAACATGGAGAGACCCAACTCATCTGGACCTGAAGCAGGCAGGCCTCCCGGGAGCAGTGGGGAATTCTGGGAAAGAACTACGCAGACGTTCCTGAATGCCCACATCCAGCGCTTCCGGCATTCCTCCTACCGAGAAGGCGAGGGACCCAGAGAGGTTTGCAGCCGCCTCCACTCTCTCTGCCGCCAGTGGCTGAAGCCAGAGCAACACACCAAGGCGGAGATGCTGGACCTGGTGATCCTGGAGCAGTTCCTGAGCATCCTGCCCCCAGAGATGGGGAGCTGGGTCCGAGAGTGTGGGGCAGAGACCTCTTCCCAGGCGGTGGCCCTGGCGGAAGGCTTCCTCCTGAGTCGGGCAGAGGACGAGAAGCAGGAAGGACAGGTAAGAGCATTGCCTCTTGGCTTCACTCACCTTAGGACTGACATACATCCTGCCTTCCTTCCTTTTTTTTTTTAAGTAAGATTTTATTTACATACAATAACAACTTACAGAATAGACAAAACACAAAACAGTGAACATTTTACAAACACATAGCCCTACCACCAAGGCCTGAACAAGTATCATTTCCTTCACCATGTATTTATAAATCAACCATTAATCAAATGTCATCTCCAAAATTCCTGACCAACCAAATTCTGTTGTTTTCCATTTTCGCTCCCTTTATTAAATATGTCTATATTTAATAAAGACCAACCAGTATGCCTCAAAATCTGATCTGTTAATTTCGTCCTGCCTTCCTTCCAAGATGACACCGATGGGAGTGAGAAGGCGGACTCTGCTCCCTCGGCCTCTTTTCCCCCCTGCTCTGCCCCTCCTGCTCTCACCTCCATATCCATTGTAAGTTCGGTTGCTGCTCTATCCAAATTTGTTGACCCCAGATATCACATTGCAAATGATGGGAGGTGGAATATGGCCCACCTCAGAATGCAGTTTCTGCACATTTGGAAAATAACCCTTTCCTTATCTTTTTCCACACTACTTCCGAACTTCTCTGTGTCCTTTCAGGCCTTAAATAACTGTATTGAAGTCCAGCCTGATGTCTCTGCATCATTGGGTGCCACCCAGAGCCTCCAGCAGAAGGAGCTCAAGCAGGAAGCAGATGAAGCTGCAGCCTTGCAGGGTAAGAAGGAATTCTTCTGGGAGTTTTGGTGTTCTAGGCCAGTGAAAATTCCTCTTCAGGGAATCCACAATCAGTTTGAGCTAGAGAAGGTGCATATGCAGGATTGTTTGGCCTTGAGATGGGCGTATAGGTGTGGAATGGATAAAAAGTGGCAAAGCCAATGCAAATATTGTACAGAGATAGGAAAATATGAGCTCTTGAATCAAGTTAAAGTTATAATGGAAATTGTGGTATGGGTATTGGGTAGGGGGTAGAAAAGAAAAGAGTGACAAATAAAAAGAGGTTGGTGAAACATTGTCATAGATGAATAAATGCACACAATCTATTTGTATAATGAATAATTAAAAATCTTTTCTTAAAAAGATGAGTATATAGGTAGGCATTTGGTTGCAAAAGGCGTAATTTGTTAGGGCATGTAAAAATCAGATGGTGGGTGTGTGAACTGAAAATGCAAGGCACGAAGCTGATCGGTTGGGCCATGCCCAGGAAACTAGCTGAGCCTGGGAGTTTTGGTAACAGATACATTTTTAGGCTTGAGCTGTGCAGAGAGAGAAAAAGTTCTTGCTTGATGAGCTGCTAGAAGGAGATTTTCCACATGGACACTGAAAGACCCTTTATATCTCTCTCAACGGACATTGTGTAAGTCAATGCAACTGTTCATGTGATTGTATAAATGTTACTCTGCATTACAAAGAGTAAATTTATTTACTGATCATCTGTGTGGCATATATTTTTTCTCTGGCAAGACAGTGTGTGAACCATTCGTAATTTTCATTAGGCCAACATCATTTCAGTATGATTTGAAAGGTTTTTTTTTGGCAATACTTCTATATTTGCATATTGTTGTGTGGGACTGAAAAATCCGCCCTTCAATATCATCCCAGGTGGGATCCGAAGCTAAGATGAGCCCTGAAACTGAGCTGGAAGACAGACAACAAACAGTAACTTTAGTCAATTGAAATACCAAGCCCAGGACTAGTTTCACTCCAGCCTATTCACAGTACTGGTTGAGAGAAAAAGTCCTAATCTCCAAAATGTTACCTATTCTTCGGCTGGAGGATGCTTCTGTGTTTATTTCCTCATAGGTTTCTTTTTAGGACTATAATTGTCACTTCTGAGACATGTCTGTGTGATCAGCTTTCCACCCCTTGCTCTCTCTCTCTCTTTCTCAGGGGCTGGAATGATGTTGTTGCCGATTCCACAGTTGAATCTCCCCTTTTGTGGTGGAGTGGAACTGAATCAGGTAAGCAGAGGGTTTCCTGGGAGAGGAAGAAGGGAGATGCCTGGGAGTCATTGGTTCCAGGCTTAATCGTCTCTTCAAACAGAAAAGATTGAATGGGAGTTTCTTAAAAGTGAAATACTGAAGTCACAATTGCAAACAGTGCCCAGCAGAAGGAAAAAAAGGGGGAAATCTAAAGAAACCATAATAAATGTCTAAAGATCTTTCAGCCGAGCTAAGATTTAAAAGGGATGTGTACAAGAAATGTAGAAGGGGGTGGGTGGGAATCCCCAAAGAAGAGTCCAAACGACTAACCAGCATAAGTTGGGAAAAGGCCTGACAAGCTAAAGCAGAAAATGAGTTCAGGCTTGCCAGAGAAATTAAAAACAATGAAAGGGGGTTCTCTGGTTGTGTCATTAGAAGAAGGAGAAAAGAGCAATTAAGACCAATTAAGATGGTCCGCCCCAGGAGGCTCATCGATCCGGACGGATTCCTGGTGGCTCTTGGGGGTATTTCCCGCCACCTCAGTCCTATTGGTGACTCTCTGGAATGGAGAGATGACTAGGGCAACAGACACAATTGCTCTGGAACATCCCCTCTCAAGTAGCCGAGCTAAACCAGCTCCTTAGTTCAACGAGGAGCTGGCAGCGATGAAGCGAACGAAGAGGGGTCTAGAGCACAGTGGCGGATGAAGCGCAACTGAACACGGCTGTGTCTTTATTTAAAAACATATGCCGCAGCAATCGACGCCATAAATAAACTCTCTCTGCGGTCAACATTGCGTCCACAAGGAACCTTCTGGCAGACGTTTGTTAAACCCTGCCTCACAAGATAGGGTCCCTGACCATTCAGCAGCTTGCTGTGAAGCATTTGCTCGGTTCTTTACAGACAAAGTCGCTTTAATCCGTTCTGACCTGGACACCATGTTAACTGCAGTCTCCGAGGATGTAAAATGAGCACCTGCTTGTCCGGTTTTAATGGATTAATTTCAACTGGTGCAGCTCGAGGATGACGACAAGATCCTTGGAGAGACGAGGACAACCACATGCATCTTAGACCCCTGCCCATCCTGGCTGGTAAAGGAGGCCAGAGGGGGTTTGACATGGTGGGTGGAGGTGGTGATTAATGCCTCCCTATAGGAAGGCAAAATTCCAGCCAGCCTAAAATAAGCTGCCATAAAACCACTGTTGAAGAAACCACCACTGGACCCCACCCAGTTGAATAACTTTTGGCCAGTTTCCAATCTCCCCCTTCTGGGCAAAGTCCTGGAATGAGTGGTGGCCTCGCAACTCCAGGTGTTCTTGGTAGACACTGATTATCAAGATCTGGCGCAGTCTGGCTTTAGGTCGGGACATGGGAATGAGACAACCTTGGTCGCCTTAGTGCAGTGGTTCTCAACCTGGGGTCCCCAGATGTTTTGGGCCTACAACTCCCAGAAATCCCAGCCAAGCTGTTAGGATTTCTGGGAGTTGTAGGCCAAAAACATCTGGGGACCCCAGGTTGAGAACCACTGCCTTAGTAGATGATCTACACCGGGAACTAAACAGGGGGAGTGTGTCCCTGTTGGTTCTGATGGACCTCTCAGTGGCCTTCGATACCGTTGACCACAATATCCTTCTGGATGCCTCATGGTAATGGATCTTGGAGGTACTGTTTTACAGTGGCTCCGGTCCTTCCTGTAGGAACGTTCCCAAAGGTGTTGTTGGAGAACACCTGCTTGGTCTCACAAAGATTGTCTTGTAGGGTTCCACAGGACTCAATACTGTCCCTCATGTTGTTTAACATCTACATGAAGCTGCTGGGAGAGACCATCCAGAGTTTTGGAGTTCAATGACTTCTGTACGCAGATGACGTTCAGTTCTGTCACTCCTTCCCACCTGCTACTAAGGATGCAGTTCAGGTCCTGAACTGGTGCTTGGCCGCTGTGACAGTCTGGATGAGGGCGAACAAATTGAAATTGACTCCATACAAGACAGAGGTCCTCCTGGTCAGTCGTAAGGCCGACTGACTAACCGGACACCTCTACAAAGCTTAAACTATGGCACAGAGGCCTTAGCCCTTTCTCTTTCAAACAACCAACAGGAATGTAAACCTGCTTTAAAGAGTTTCTTGTAATTATTTTTATTGATAGCCCTTGTGTGAGAAGTAAATGTGTTCTTTTCCCCCCAGGGCCCAATCACCTTTGAGGACGTGGCTGTCCATTTCTCCCTGGAGGAGTGGGCTCTCCTGAATCCTGATCAGAAAGTCTTGCACAAGCAAATCATGGAGGAGATTCATGGGATGGTAGACTCTCTTGGTAAGGCTCACTCATTGTTGGGGATTTCTATTTCAAAAGTGCAGTCTCCCAGTCAGCACTGGAAGGGATCAGGATCCTAAATCATCACAATCTCTGAAAGTTCTTAAAGAAGGTCTTATGTTAGAAATATATGACAGAAGTGTAACATTGACTTGATGCCTGAGTAACAGTGATGTTGGCACCAGTTCAGACTCCAATGGGAAGACTTTAATAGTCAAGTCCAAGCGTACCACACTTCCTCACAGCACCAGGGCCCCCTGGAAAGCCTATAAAGAGTAACCTATAAAGAGTAATCAGATCAGTCACACTATCTCTCTCTCTCTATCTATCTATCTTTGTGAGTGTGTGCATGAGCGAGAGAGAGGCAGGGGAAAGGGAAGAAGCAGATTTCCAATAAGGAACCTAGCAAACCTCTCCTGACTTCAGGTACACATTTCCTGCCAACTGCTTTTGCATCCTGTGTACTCTTGGAAGGCTTAGAAAGCCACTGTATGCTTGAAGCCAATAGAAGTATGGAAAATGATGGGAAAAAGTTGTGTTGCAAAACCCAACTTGCTCTTGATATCTGCTGACATGCTTCTTCCCAGTAACTCGGGCTCCATGGAAATCTGTTAAGAGCCATTGCCCAGATTGATTGGCTGGAGAGTGGGGCCGGAGAACGGATAATCAAGAAGCACAAACTTCCCCAGGTTTCACATACACATGCACAGCTATACATCTTTTTATCGGAGTCATATTCAGACATGTTTACCTCCCAGCCAGGCAGTCTAGCCTCTGCATGCCGGAAAGCCAGGCTCTTTTTGTATGCTGCCTCTCCCAGCACACAAATTGTCCCTTGCCTCAGTCATTTGCAAGATGGTGACCTGCAACATAATGTGTTCTATGTTCTGTGCTTCTGAATGATTTGGGCTCGGGGATTTTTGTTTACAATACAGAGAAAGGATTCCCCAAAGTACAAAGGCACGAGGCCACTATAATATAATCCAATAATGTAAACCATAAGAATGTTTTCCATTTATATACTATAATCATAGAGCATTCAGTGTACAAACAAAGCTTGTCGAATTTCAAAGTATGCTACACAATGATTCAAAATACAAGTATCTTAACACAAAATCTTCCTTACATGGGAAAGACAAATGATTCCTGAAGCAGAATCCAAAGGAATATGATGCATGTATTACAAACAAACATACTCATAGAGGGCATCTCTCCTATAATCAAGATTTGTGAGTCCAGTATCATATAAAGTTCATGTTCCACAGGTTGTAAATCTAATCCTATAAATCAAAGTTTGTAGGTCCTTATTAAACCCAAAGTTTTTTTAACACAACTGGTTTCAACTGTGTAGAGTCTTCCTCAGGTGGTAATTTGTGAAGGTACAGAAATCATAGAATAGCCAATTTTCCAATGCAGAAAGTTCTTCAAGTGGATCAATATATAAGTGGATCTAGAGGGAATACATATGAGTGGCTAGAAAACAGTACAAGACAAAGATTACCAGGTGTATTAGAAGCATCAAAGACAGGAACATAAATACTCACGTAAGTTCTACAAGGATGCTCTGCTACTAGTTTGATTCAATGGCAAGCCCAGGAGAAACAGGTAGAAACTACTGCATATAGGGATAAATTTAAAGGGGTCCAATATGGATATTGGTGTGGCTATGTTACAAATTTTTCATAAGAAGAACCAGTTTAAACCTTAAAGAGGCATGCACGGGCTCACAGGAAACATTGGAATGAAATGGAATCATTTAGACCCTTAGGGTGAACAGTTTTAAGAGTAAAGATCCAGAAGGCTTCACGTTGTTGTAGTTTACTTGAGGAGGATGTAACTACCTCTAAAACTAAGACCCGAAATGAATCAGGATTATGGTTCATGACATTGAAATGTTTATACAGGTTTGAGTCAGCGTCCTGATTCCTAATTTTGCTCTTCTGTTTGGTTACTCGGAGTTTAATTTGCCTGCTGGTCTGGCCGACATACATCAGGGAACAGGGACAAATAATGACATAAATGACGCCTTTGGTGGTGCACGTATTAAAATGTTGCAGTTGATGAACTATCTTAGTGTGAGGAGTCTGAAAACCTTAGTTTGAATAAATTGCAGCACAATGGTGACAAGGAAAAAAATTCTACAATATTAGGTCTAATTCTCATGATTTGAGAATCATAGTCAATATCTGAGTATACATGTCTCTCAAGTTCTGTGTTCTTTTATGTGCCACCATGGGAGATTTTTCACATCCCGGTATATCACTTATCAGTTGCCAATATTTTTTCACAATTTTAATTACCTGTCTAGAGAAATTGGTTAATGTCAAGGGCCAGACCAATCTGTTGTCTGTGGACACAGATTTGTCTGCCAACAGGGTGGTATATTAAACTTTGGATGCCCTGATTATGGCATTATTGTCAAGATGTCCAGGATAGCCCATAGACCTAAATTTATTTTTAATCGTTATTAAATTATGTTCAAAATATTGTTGCAGTGTGCAATTGCATTTGATTCTCAATATTTGAGAATAAGGTAAATTGTTTTTTAAGGATAGCGAATGTTGGAATAATGAAGAGTTGAGCTTCGATCTCTGGGTTTTTGGTAATTGTTGACCACTTGTCTACTCTTAAGTTTAGTAACCAAAATATCAAAATACGGAATGCTATTTGGGTCAATATGTCCAGTGAATTTAATGTCCAGATGAATGGTGTTGGCCCATATCAATAAGGTACGTGCAGGTTGTTGATTACTCATGATAATGAACACATCATCAGTGTATCTAAAGTATTTATTCATTTGGCTATAAACTGGATTCTGTGTGGGGTTCAAAACAGATTTCATTTCCAAATCATCCATGAATAAATTGCCAATGGAGGGGGCAGTTGGGCTACCCATGGCAATACCTTGAATTTGAAGGTAAAATTGACCATTGAATTTAAAATAGTTTTTCTCCAGAATGACGTTTTTGAACATAATTTAATGTCGGTTAAAAATCAATGTAGGTCCAAGGGCTATCCTGGACATCTTGTCAGTAATGCCTTAATCAGGACTCACAAACCTTGATTATAAGAGAGATGCTTTCTATGAGTATACTTGTTTGTAATACATTGATCATATTCCTTTGGATTCTGCTTCAGGAATCATTTGTCTTTCCCATGTAAGGAAGATTTTGTGTTAAGATACTTGTATTTTGAATCATTCTGTAGTATACTTTGAACTTTGACTAGCTTTCTTTGTACTTTGAATGCTCTATGACTATAGTATATACATGAAAATCATTCTTACGGTTTATATTATTGGATTATATTATCGTTTGTAGTGGCCTCATGCCCTTGTTTTTTGTTTACAGTCACATGGGGAGAGAGAACTGGAGGTTGGGGGAGAGAAAGAAAAAGAAGGGAATGATGGTGAAATGGGTGGTAGCAAAGTAAAGTTTCAGCGAGAGAAAAATGCAAGAATTTGAATATGAAAGGAAAAGTGAGAAGGAGACAGAATTAAAAAAATGTGCTGGGCTGGGCTAAACAACAGGTATACTCTGGAACATATGTTACTCAGCTCTCCCTTAGAGGCTCCAGGCAGTCAGACAGGGCCAATCCGTACTGAACAAGGGGTGGGGAGAGGACAGTGTTTATATCTTAGACTCCATATCACTCACACTAAGGAATGATTGTTTCTGTCCTTCTTCACAACAGATAACTGGAAAAAGAGCAATGTATACTCCAAGCCTTGTGAGCACATTGGGGGCATTCCTAGACACCAGCAAATCCACAGTGAAGATGGAGGGTCTGCCATAGAAAGACCCTACAAATGCAGTGTATGTGGCCAGTGTTTTACCCATAACATGGCACTTGTGCTTCACAAGACACTCCATGCTGGGAAAAGCCATCTTAAAGTATCAGCAGAATTTGTTGCTAATTACAAATTCCCACATCTGAGCCAAGAAGAAATCTTTGAAGGAACTGAGGATATCTTAAGCCAGGAGTGTAGGAAATCTTTTATCCAGAGTTCACCCTTGGTGAAACATGAGAGATTTCACACAGGAGAGAAGCCATACCAATGCCAGGAGGGGGGAAAAGGTTTTGCCTACAGTTCACTTCTGGTGAAACACGAAAGGCTTCCCACAGGAGAGAAGCTATACCAATGCCAGGAATGTGGGAAATATTTTACTCAGAGTTCAGTATTGCTGAAGCACAAAAGAGTCCACACAGGAGAGAAGCCATACCAATGCAAGGAGTGTGGGAAATGTTTTGCTTACAGTTCAGACTTGGTAAGGCACAAAAGAGTCCACACAGGAGAGAAGCCATACCAATGTCAGGAGTGTGGCAGATGTTTTACTCAGAGTTCAATATTGTTGAGCCACAAAAGACTCCATGCAGGAGAGAAGCCATACCAATGCCAGGAATGTGGGAAATCTTTTACTCGGAGTTCACACTTGGTGACTCACAAAAGACTCCACACAGGAGAGAAGCCATACCAATGCCAGCAGTGTGGGAAATGTTTTACTTACAGTTCAGGCTTGGTGAGCCACAAAAGACTCCACACAGGAGAAAAGCCATACCAATGCCAGGAATGTGGGAAATGTTTTGCTTTCCGTTCAGTCTTTGTGAGCCATAAAAGACTCCATACAGGAGAGAAGCCATACCAATGCCAGGAGTGTGGGAAATGTTTTGCTTCCCGTTCAGCCTTTGTGAGTCATAAAAGACTCCACACAGGAGAGAAACCATACCAATGCCAGGAGTGTGGGAAATGTTTTGCTTCCCGTTCATCCTTTGTATGTCATAAAAGACTCCACACAGGAGAGAAGCCATACCAATGCCAGGAATGTGGGAAATGTTTTGCTGACAATGCAGCCTTGATGAGTCACAAAAGATTCCACACAGGAGAGAAGCCATACCAATGCCAGGAGTGTGGGAAACGTTTTGCTTCCAGTTCAGGCTTGGTGAGGCACAAAAGACTCCACACAGGAGAGAAGCCATACCAATGCCAGGAGTGTGGGAAATGTTTTAGTCGGAGTTCAGTCTTGGTGAGCCACAAAAGACTCCACACGGGAGAGAAACCATACCAATGCCAGGAATGTGGGAAATGTTTTCCTGACAGTTCAGTATTGGGGAAGCACAAAAGACTCCACACAGGGGAGAAGCCATACCAATGCCAGGAGTGTGGGAAATGTTTTACTTACAGTTCAGTCTTGATGAACCACAAAAGACTCCACACAGGAGAGAAGCCATACCAATGCCAGGAGTGTGGGAAATGTTTTACTCAGCGTTCAGGCTTGATGAACCACAAAAGACTCCACACAGGAGAGAAGCCATACCAATGCCAGGAGTGTGGGAAATGTTTTACTCAGAGTTCAGGCTTGGTGAACCACAAAATAGTCCACACAGGACAGAAGCCATACAAATGCCAGGAGTGTGGGAAATGTTTTGCTGACAGTGCAGCCTTGGTGAGGCACAAAAGACTCCACACAAGAAAGAAGCCATACGAATGCCAGGAGTGCGGGAAATGTTTTACTCACAGTTCAGGCTTGGTGAACCACAAAATAGTCCACACAGGAGAGAAGCCATACCAATGCCAGGAGTGTGGGAAATGTTTTGCTGACAGTGCAGCCTTGGTGAGCCACAAAAGATTCCACACGGAAGAGAAGCCAAACCAATGCCAGGAGTGTGGGAAATGTTTTGCTCGTAGTTCAGCCTTCATGAGCCACAAAAGACTCCATAAAATCATAGAATCATAGAGTTGGAGACCTCATGGGCCATCCATAAACCTTTAAAAAAGATGAGTAAATATGTAGCATTTGGTTGCAAACGGTGTAATTTCAGTGTGATTTGCAGTTTTCTTCCTGGCAGTAATTCTATATTTGCATACTGTTGGGTGGGACTGAAAAATCATGTCTTCAGTATCTTCCCAGGTGGGATCTAAAGCTTAGATGAGCCTTGAACCAGAGCTGGAAGACAAACAGACAAGAAACAGTAACTTGAGTCAATTGAAATGCCAAGCCCAGTACTCGTTTCAGTCCAACCTATTCACAGCACTGGTTGACATAAAATGTCCTAAACTCCAAAATGTGACATATTCCTGGGCTGGAGAATGCTCCTGTGTCCATAGCGTCAATTCTTTATAGGTTTCTTTATAGGACTTAATTGTAACCTCTGAGACATGTTTATGTGATTAGCTTTCCACACCTTGCTCTCTCTCAGGGGCAGGAATGATGTTGTTGGCAAATCCACAGTCGTTTCTTCTGCTTTGGGATGAAGTGGAATTGAATCAGGTAAGCAGAAGAATTTCTGGGAGAATCGAGGGCTATAACCTTTTTCACAAAAGCATCTGGATAAGAATCAAGGGAACTGGGACTCAAAAAGATCTTGTCGTAGGCGTGTACTACAGATTTCCGAGCCAGGATGAAAAACTCAATGAAGCCTTCTGTCAACAGTTGACGAAACAAGCACAAAGAGAAGATATAATAGTCATGGCAATTTCAACTATCCCGATATTTGCTGGAAAACAAACATGGCCAAGAGTACAAGAGATTCCTTGCTTGCCTTGCAGACAGTTTTATGGTCCAGAAGAGGCTGAATCCTTAGGGGCAAGTAACCATGTGTTCCTGCAATTTGCAAGACAATGGAAGGCTGAAACTAAGACAAGTCAAACTTGCATTCTGGATTTTAGGAGAGTTGACTTCCAAAAAATGAAGGAAATACTGAGCAGCATTCTGTGGACGCTGATATTAAAAGACAAGGGAGTTACGAATGGATGGGAGTTTTTCAAGAGTGAAATACTCAAGGCGCAACTGCAAACAGTGCCAACAAAGAAAAAAAAAGTAGGATAAGTGCAAAGAACCCAGAATTGATGTCAAAAAGAAAATCTAACTGGTCTAAGACTCAAAAGAGACATGTACAAGAAGTGGAAAAGGGGAGAAATCACCAAAGAAGAATTCAAACAAATAACCAACTCCTGTAGGGAAAAAGTTTGCAAGGCTAAAGCACAAAAGGAGCTCAGGCTTGCCAGAGACATTAGAAACTGTCTACGGTAGTAGAAAAAGGAAAAACAAGGAGGCGATAGGGCCTCTGCAAGGACAAGATGGGGAAATGCTGACAGGGGATAGGGAAAAGGCAGAACTATCTAATGCCGTCTTTGCCTCAGTCTTCTCACAAAAGGAAAGTCATCCTCAACCTCAGCAACATGAAGTGGACAAACGATTAGAGAAAATCCAACCCCAAATAGGGGAAGGAATATCTGGCCGCTCTAAACAAATTCAAGTCATAGAATCAAAGAGTTGGAAGAGACCTTGTGGGCCATCCAGTCCAACCCCATTCTTCCAAGAAGCAGGAAAATCATATTCAAAGCACCCCCAACAGATGGCCACCCAGGCTCTGCTTTAAAGCCTCCAAAGAAGGAGCCTTCACCATACTCCAGGGCAGAGAGTTCCACTGTTGAACCGCTCTCGAAGCCAGAAGTTCTCCTGGCTTCAATGTGCACTTGGCTTAACTTTGGATTTCTGCCTACGATTTGGTAGAGGCCACTTCCTTGTCCTTTGAATTCCTAAGCTGAGGTCTTCTTCTCTAGAGCAGCTGAAAGCAAGCTCCCTGTGACAATCCTTCAGAGGGTTAAATATGACTTGAGATGTCACTTTTTTCAAAAAACCATATGTAATTCCATCAGTTGTTCTTCTAGGCTTAGTTTCCAGCTCCTTTGCCACCTAGGTTGCTAATTTCCAGTTTGTAAGTGTTGTCCTCCAGCGAAGACGGTGCTTCTGTTGAGGCCAAGCCAAAGGAAAATATGCTTGCACGGTTATTTCCCTTGATGTGCAAATCATATCTCTGGCTAGAATTTACTGCCTGTTTCCCTGCTCCTGGCACACACACTTTTAATCTGCATTAAATTGAAGAACACGAGTCTTGCTGTTATTTTAGTATTTATTTATTTATTTATTTATTTACATTGCTTCCATTTTGCCCTTCTCACCCTAAAAGAGACTCAGGGTGGATCACAGAACACATATACAGTAAACATTCAGTGCTGATTATGCAGTGACAGACAACGGATAGAGGTATATTTAGGCTTTCTCTCATCATTCGGCATCTTTTGGAGGCTGTGCTCAGTTCTGGCCACGGGAGTGCTGACGCTCCATCTCCTTGCCGAAGAGCTTTCTTATTTATTTATTTAAAAGTTTTCTGTACCGATCTTCTCACCTCCAGGAGGGTGTTCATATACAAAATACAAACCACACAATGCATTATCATTACACGTTAAAAACATATTACAATACAACATCGTCATCATCACAATTACACAGCCAGGTCATCAAAAACATTCATGGTCATAATTCACAGTTAATCATTCTCCTTCCATGTGGACCAGAGTTGACTCAGTTGTCAAAGGCCGCATTCCATAGCCAAGTCTTTGTTAATTTCCTGAACGTCAGGAGGGAGGGAGCCGTTCTAATCTCCTGTGGGAGGGAGTTCCAAAGCCGGGAAGCCACCACCGAGAAGGCCCTGTCTCTCGTCCCCACCAACCGCGATTGTGACAGTGGTGGGATCGAGAGCAGGGCCCCCCCCCCGGATCTTAACAACCTTGATGGTTCATAGGGGAGAATCCGTTCGGACAGGTAAACTGGGCCAGAGTCGTTTAGGGCTTTGTAGGTCAAAACCAGCACTTTGAATTGTGCTCGGAAGCTAATTGGCAGCCAGTGGAGCTGGCGTAACAGAGGGGTTGTATGCTCCCTGTACCCAGCACCCGTTAGAAATCTGGCTGCCGAGCGTTGGACTAGCTGCAGCTTCCGGGCAGTCTTCAGAGGCAGCCCCACGTAGAGAGCGTTGCAGTAATCTAAACAGGATGTAACCAAAGCATGGACCACCGTGGCCAAGTCAGACTTCCCAAGATACGGGCACAGCTGGCGCACAAGTTTTTTCTTTCTTTGTTCGTTAATTTTCTTCCGTGCCTAAGATACCTCCCCACTTAATGCAGTTGCTATTCATCTACTCACGTTGCTGTTTTCAATCAGCTAGGTGGGCGGGGGAGCTGGGATAAAGATCAGGAGCTCACACTGACCCGGCTTCGAACGTTCAGTTGGCTGCAGCTGCTGATTAACCTGCTGTGCTATAACTGGCCTAATGTTATATATCATTGATTTTGTTATAAACAGAGAATTTGATCTTTGCAAAATTTAAGTCTCTGGATGTGATATTAAGGTAATAATAATCACTTTTAATTGAACTGCACAGAATAACAACAACAACAACTTTATTTTTGTATCCTGCCACCATCTCCCCGAACGGACTCAGGGTGGCTTACATGGGGACAAGCCCGGTCAAATATAAATTAAAATAAACACAGTAAAAATTCTAAAAGCAACATAAAACAACATAAAAACAACCAACAACAAACAACCAATAGCCTGACATGGTAGTCAGATTACTAATACAATTGCAACAACAGGGCCGATGGAAAAAGTGCAGGAGCCAGATAATAAGTGGAGGTTAGAAGGGCAATGTCAATTAGAACAGTATAGCTCTAGGGCAGGAAACAGTGGTAAAGTGCAAGACACAAATATTGAGTTATGACTGGTGCAGGGGCAAATTATCTAGTGAACTGTATAATCAAAGTCACAATGGAACATCCACATTTTTAGGTCTTTACGATTAGTGGACAGAGTGGGCACCAGTCTAATCTTCCTGGGGAGAGAGTTCCAGAGCCGGGGAGCCACCATTGAGAAGGCCCTCTTCCTCGTCCCCACCAGCCACGCTTGTGACGGAGGTGGGAGTGAGAGAAGAACCTCTCCAGCAGATCTTAGGGCTCGCGCAGGTTCATAGGGAAAAATGCGATCACAAAGTTTTATTATTATTATTATTATTATTATTATTATTATTAAGTAAAGGTAAAGGTTTTCCTCTGACATTAAGTCCAGTTGGTCCAACTCTGGGGTGTGGTGCTCATCTCCATTTAATAATAATATAATAATAATACTTTATTTGTACCCCGCTACCATCTCCCCAAGGGACTCGGTGCGGCTTACCTGAGGCCGAGCCCAAAGTACATCAAACAAAACATCAATAACACAACATTAATAAAACAGTCAATAAAATACAAAACATAAATCACATAAACAAAAAACAATAATCGATAGTGACATATAAACAGTTTTTAAAAAATGGCCGGGCCAAATGTAATAGATTAAAATTGAAAATATGCTGACGTGAACAAGGGTAAATATAACTGGGATAGGATTTTTCAAAGAGAAACGAGGGAACGCAGTCCATCCTAAGTCAGTATTAAAGTGCATTTTGAGGACACATTGCTGAGAGTTCTCCTTATTCTGGGAAGGCTGAAACAACCACGTTTTCAGGCTCCTCCTAAAGACTGCCAACGTTGGGGCGTGTCTAATGTCCCTGGGAAGTGAGTTCCAGAGTCGAGGGGCCAGCACCAAGAAGGCCCTCTCCCTCGTCCCCATCAGTCGCGCCTGCGAAGGAGGTGGGAGCATGAGTAGGGCCTCTCCAGATGATCGAAGAGATCGTGTGGGTTCATACACAGAAGTGCGGTCACGCAGGTAGGAGGGTCCAAAGAGTCGGCGTTATCCATAGACACCTCCAAGGTGATCCTGCCGGCATGATTACATCGAGCGCCGTTACCTCCCCGCTGGAGCGGTATCTATTGATCTACTCACATTTGCATGTTTTCAAACTGCTAGGTTGGCAGAAGCTGGGGCTAACAGCAGGAGCTCACCCCGGTTAG